TTTTTTTTTTTTTTTTTTTTTTTTTTTTTTTTTTTTTTTTGTGAAAGTTATTTTTGGCAATAACCAGTTAAGGTCTATGAATAAAAATGCGCAAGTTTAAGGTTCCTTTTTTTCTTTTATTGGGAATCAGGTTCTGGGAGAAGCTTACCAAGTGTTAAGTGATCCAGCTCAAAGACAAGCTTATGATGCTCATGGGAAGTCTGGAATCTCAACGTATAGATTCTCCTCTTTTTAGTTTTGCTTTTTCTGTTTTCTTTGTACTTCCTTTTGTTTTTAATTACTGGATGAAGTTTTGATGTGCATTATCATCATTTTATTGCAGTGATGCGATTATTGATCCTGCAGCAATTTTTGCAATGCTTTTTGGAAGTGAACTTTTTGAAGAATACATCGGTCAGCTTGCCATGGCATCGATGGCTTCTCTGGACATTTTCAATGAAGGGGAGCAATTTGACCCCAAACGGTTGCAAGAGAAGATGAGGGTATAACTTTCTCCCTGATGTGATGCCACTCTTTAATCCAAAAGTCCATTAAATCCTTGATATTTTGCTAGATTCAACATTAGGGACTATTATAGTTCTCACAGCAGTTGGTAGCTAGGAATGCACTGTAGTTTGTTGCGATTTTGCCTATGCGGTGTGAACTTGTTTCTTTGATGAGTTTGGTGTTAAGTTGGCTGGAAAGCGTGAGTGCAAGTGCAGAGAGATGATCAAAGAATTCCGTCTCCACCCTCTTTTTAGTGAGAAATGAAAGTTTTTGTGCTAGCCTAGGTGTGTGCTATTGTGTGGGGCTTTGGGGTGAGAGGAACAATAGAATCTTTAGAGAAAATGAGCTTAATCCTTTTGACGCTTGGTCTCTTGCTAGATTCCATGTTTCTCTGTGGGCTTCGGTTAAGAAGCTTTTGTGTAATTATCCTCTTAGCTTTATCTTGCTTGATAAGATACCTTTCTTTTAGGTAGCCTCCTCTTTTTTGGTGGGCTCTCTCTTTTTTTCTTCTTGTATGTCATTGTATTCTTTTATTTCTACTCAATGAAAGTGTGATTATTCATTAAAAAAAAAAAGAAGAGGAAACTCATGATAACACTCACATAAATAGCTACTCAACATAGGGTTTTGAACTTGTGGTGAACATGGCTGAATATAAGGATCCTCGCTTCTATGTCCAAACATTGGGGAGACTGGTGGTACTTTTTGGCTATTTAGTGTTGTATCTCTAAAGGATAATTATTATTTTGCCTGAAAAAATGGATGCTTCATCAAGATCTTTTAAGTCATACGCATACTAAATTATCAATATTATTTTCTCACTCACTCCCTTGGTCAAGTCGTGCAAGTAGAATCTTCCGTTCTCAATAATACCCTCCAATGTATGAGGACTTTCAATAAAATTATTAAGCAGTTGGACCTTCTGTATATTCATTTATCAAATGGCAAGTTTACTTAGTTTCATTCAGGAGAAAGCATTTCCCAATCTCTTCATGATCTTTTATTTGTTACTAAAGTGAGTGGTCAAACATGCAAGATTGGTTTCTGATCATTTTTGAATCCTCCTTGAAGCTGGTAGTTTTAGTTGGGGGCCTCCCCCTTTTCGTTTTTATAACTCATGGTTATTAGAAAAAGTGTGTATGGATCTAATAAAGAGCTCTTTATCACAAGACTCTTGCTTCGGATGGGCTGGTTTTGTCCTCTCCTTGAAGTTGCGTAATTTGAAACCAGTTATCAAAAGTTGGTTCTCCGACTTGGAAAAATCCAATAAGAAAATGTAAAAACTTTTGCTTAATGAGTGGGCTGCTATTGATGCAAAAGAATAACGTGGTTTTTATTTCAGATCAAGATATAAGCTCCAGATCAGCAATTAAGTGTGATATTCAACAATTATTCGTTCCGAAGAAAGAACCTTGATTCAGAAATGTAAAGTGAAATGACTAAGAGAAGGGGATGAAATTACTGCTTTATTCATCGAATTCTGGCAGCAAAGAAGAGAAAGTTATTGATTTCTGATTTGGATTTTTCCTCCCCTTCTTTATACAATAAAATTCCAGTTTGTCGCTCAATCCCCTCTAATTTAAATTGGAGGCCTATTGCTGATGAAGAGAATTCTAGATTAGTATCAACTAGTTCACTGGAGGAAATTTGGTTGCAATTTAAGGGCTTGGGAAGAATAAAGCTCCAGGGCCGGATGCCTTTTCTATGGAATTCCTTCTCAACTTTTGGGACTTATTAAAGGATGATTTGTTTCATTTGTTTGCTAAGTTTCACACTAATGAAATATCAGTTCGTGTTTCTAAGAAAGCCTCAGAAAATGTTAACTCTGAGGGATTTGTGTCTGATAAGTCGTACTACATTTTGTTATAAAATGATTGCAAAAGTACTTGCAAACAGGCTAAATAGAGTAACTCATTCCACCACTTCAGATTTTCAAAGTGCTTTTATTGCTAGGAGACAGATTCTTGATCCAATCTTGATTGCGAATGAGATAGTTGAAGAGTATAGAACGAAAAACCCAGCGAGGATGGGTTCTTAAACTTGATGTAGAGAAAGCATTTGGTTGTGTAGGTTTGGATTTCTCCTGCCAAATGGATTCAATGGACGTTTGTATTCAGGGTACCGAATTCTCAGTTCTCATTAATGGTCCTCCTTGTGGTAGTTGAGAAGTTCTCTAGGAGAGATGTAAGTAACAAGTTTTGAGCCCTTTCCCTTTTCACTTACCGGGATTAATATCTTGTTCAAACCTCCACTGACCCCAAGCTTTGCAATCTCAGCACAATGTCCTTTCTGGATGGTAATTTTTTCAACCCATCAACTATAAGCATCATATAAAGTTCTTGAAAGAATTTCTGGTTGAGGAGGGGAAACAGGACTTTAACTGAGAAAGAGAGGCGTTGAGGAGGGACAGGATGAAGGTTTGGTCCTAGGTTGCTTCAGAGATGCTAAATCTTTTCTTTTGATTTCCTTTGTTGATATAAATGCTGTAGAGTTTTCGATTAATGTAGAGTTTATGGGATGCCTGATTAGGTGCTTTTTCGTTAGTGAGGACGCTCCCCATTTCTGCATTTGAGTTCTTGAAAATACGATAAGGAGAACCGCACATTCATTTTGGGATGGGAGAAGCTTTTAGAAGAAAGGGAAGTGGGAAACAAGTGGGGTACTTGACTCTACAGGTGGGAATAAAGAATAAAAATACTCTTTGGACCTAACTGTACGTTTGGATAAAATATTCTCTTGAGAAAGTTTCCATCCCTTTCTAACTAAAAAAGATTTGCATCTTGATTCATGTGTTGACGATCTAGAATATTATTGTGTCATTTTGTACCATGCATCGCCTGGTGGGAACTTGTCCTAATGTGTGTGGTTCTGCATTCTTTCGAATCTAAAATATTTATGGAAAATGAGGTTTCATCATAATGCTTAGTGTGATGATGCAATATTTACACTAATCAGCTTTTTACAGAAGCAAAATTGCAAACGTTACAGTTGTGCATCTTTTATTCCTGCCCTTGAGTGTTTTCGTCATTGAAAGTTGCTTAGCATGCAATATGAAGTTGCTTCTTTCAGTGCAGATTGTCCAAAAGGAAAGAGAAGAAAAGCTTTCAGAAATTTTGAAAGGTCGTCTCAACCAGTATGTTCAAGGAAACAAAGATGATTTTGTTAATCATGCTGAAGCTGAAGTTGCAAGGCTTTCCGTCGCAGGTAGTATGATCCTTTAGAAACTTTTTTGATCAAGTTGACAGGGGAAAAAGAGAATGAAATGTCAGTAACTCATATGTTATAATTCCAGAACACCAGGACTACATTCATATGCTCCCAAGCTATTAGCATCAGAGCATGTTGATTAGATCACATTTAGAATTTCCACATTGTGTACTAAAGAGTTTTCTTGACTAGAGAGGGTCTTAGCAATAAAGCTTTGCTCTTTATAGCTCATAAGACTGAAAGGATTTAGAGCTCTTATCTCCATCCATATTCCGTTTGAACCTACCTTTCCAATACCATAGCGTGTACTCTTTCATAGGGACATTTGGAGGGTAGCCTTGACTTCCATATATATTTTTTAGACAACAAGTTATGGACCCTTCATTGATTAATGAAAAGAAATAGATATTTTTAAAACATCGAATGATTTAAACTCTAAAAGGAATGGAGAGAGAAATAAACCAAAAGTAGAAAGGTTAATAAAAGTACCCCATTCATCCATATATTCCTAAAAGTTAAATGTTCAAATAAGCTAGAAAGAGAACACCATTGAATTGGACTGGAACAGAATGCTCCGTTGTCCTTTTTTCATCTCTCTTCAACGATATTTGAAAGCCACTCGAACCAAAACTCTTTCTTGTTGAACTGAAAAGAATTAAATCATAATAGAGAAGCACTAAGAAGCAAGACTGGACCATTTGTTTTTTCTTTAACAACGATTAGACCATTTTGAAGTTGAAGTATGGTATTACTTTGAATCATTCTCCAAAAATCATTGTAAATTGAAATCTTCTGCATCCTTTAGGGATACCAAAACCAACAAAGCTAATGAATATCAAAACACAATAAATTCAGCCTCCTCCAAAATACTACTAGATCCAATCATCTGAGACCCCAAAAATGCATTCCAACATTCAAAAACAGATCAATTAGGTATTAGTTGAACCTCCACTAAGAAATTTTATCCAATGGTACCTCAAACAATCAATTGTCTTGCCTTCTGAACGCCAATCTAAAGTTTCCGAACCATAAATGCTAAACGCCCCACAGAACCGAAGTAGAAGAACCAAGGTAAAATCCCCCAGCTTCTTTTGCTAGAAAATCACCGTTACTTTATTTCATGACCCAATTACTCAAACCACCTTCACCTAAAGATTAAGAACCTACGATGCAGCTAACCCAATGCTTCAAATTTTCTATTATCGCTACTCTTCTGAAGAATATTTGCATACCTTTCTCAATTATTATTTAAACCATGCAATGTCCTGTTCTTTCTTCGGAAGATGAGGAGTTTTTTCCTGAAGAATCTATTGAACATGGTCTGAACACTGTTATCTATGAGAGGCTGGAGGTAATTAATGAGACTGGAGAATAGCTTTTAATACAACCATTCTTCATGTTGAGAATGTTGTTTTACATGGGAATAGCTGTCCTTTGGTTACCGTTCATGAACCACCAGCAATTAATGAGAACGATTCTTTTATTGCCCACCAGCAATTAATATTGAGCCTGGGAGAATGGTTTCTCCAATTCCTTTGACGTTTAAAGAAAGTTAAGACAGATTTATTGAAAAGCTTATTTGAATTTTTATACAGGGAAAAAAAGTCTCTGACTTTCCTTCTCCCCAAAATTTAGTTGATGTCAACATTAATGCGGATATAGTCGAGGAATCTTGCTCAAAACTTGGTTTCTCTGGCAAATCTGTCAATTGCTCAGGTCGGAAGTCCAAATGTCATTTCTCATACTTGGAATTTAATCAGTGTAATATCAAAGAATCTTCGCATATTGCTCCTTCTTGTGGAGTTATTGACTCGGATAATGAGTCTGAGATCAGTTTAACTAGTGTGGAGCTTGATCAACAACCTTTTGGTAACTGTTGAGTGATATTGTTGAAGATTCTTAGGAAGCAACCTTAGATATGTTGTTTAAGACTCCCAAGGAAGATTCTGTTTGTAGTCAGGAACTTGTTTCATTTCAGAATATTTTTAGTGTCAGCTTTCTCTTCCTTTAAATATGATAAAATCAATCACCGATCAACCCAAAAACTTAAGTTGATGAGCCATGGTAAATTTAATTATAAAAAATTCTTTAACAAATTTTTGTATATTTATTGTTACATTCACTGAAGGGATTTTTTTTCCTTTCATTTGGGAATCTAATCTCTGAATAAAGATTTTTCTAACTCCGAATTCCCAAAATAAGGAATGGGACATCAGTCGAAATAATAATTCTTTATGGGATATGAGATGGGGCGTGCTTTCTCAATTCTGACTCCACCATGCCTTGCTGTCATCTCTAGTTATATGCAAAAGATGCTAACAAAAAAAAAAAAAGAGCTTCAGGAAGGTGGTTTAGAAATCCTTCATTTAAAGAAGGGAAGATTTGCGGTAAGCACTTATAACAAGCTAAAACAGACCTACCCTCTATATTTGTTTGGTTACGTAAAGGATGGGTAGCAATGCCTTCACTCACTGGTTACAATATTTCAAGGCTCCTTGCAATCTTTGTTGACAAGATCTTTTCTTGCAAAAATTGATATGTAGCTATTGGCCTATTTTAGAGTTTCACTTCGATAGTAATTGGTGTAATGGTGAACCAACTTTCTGCAAGAGATTACTCAAAATCAATATTTGCTGACATATAGCGTTGGACTAGAGCTCAATGATCAAACTAACATCATTCAGTTTATTAGCATACATAACAATAGATCAGGCGCACGTATCTACAAAAAGCTTGGTTGCACAATTAGTATCTTACAGTATGGTTCTTTATCAAATTCATTCATTTTTCCCCATAGTTTCTGAGTACACTATGATTTTTGTAGGCAGGTAACCGAGCTTCATTGAGAAAAATGCAAAAAAAAAATATAAGGGCATGCAAAAAACAAGCTCAAACTTCTGAGTCTACTATGATTATTTACTGTTGTCGGTGTGCCTTTGCAGCCTATGGAGTTGACATGTTAAACACAATTGGCTATATATATGCCAGACAGGCTGCTAAAGAGCTTGGGAAGAAGGCAATTTATTTGGGCGTGCCATTTGTTGCTGAGTGGTTTAGAAACAAAGGGCACTTCATAAAATCCCAGGTCACAGCAGCCACAGGTATTGTTATGGTGTTTTTCTTCAATATTGTTCGACTCAATGGTATTACTTCAGCTACAATACTTCTTTTCCTTTTGTCATGGCTCTTCTCTTCCTCTCAAGTATATTTAAATTAGCGTGTTTCTGAACGCATATCTTATTATCTTGGCTCATTCCTTGTTAGATTAGAAACAAAGAATATGGCACAATGCAAAAGCTAGAAGATTCTCTGAATCTTGGAAATTATTAATTGATAAAATTGGTTACAACCGTGCAAGTCTTACCTTTGAATTACAAATTTAGAACCTCGTAGTAAAATAAAATTTTAAAGGTAAATACACGTTTGGTTTTGGACTTTCGAGTTTTGTGTCAAAATAAACCATTTTAGTCCTAGAATTTTGAAAAATAATTTTAAGTGGTCTCTAACCGTTTGTTGACTAATAGAAGTATGATATGACGGTTAAGTTGTTGATTGTGCTATGCTAATTTGTCAAAATTGTTACTTTTTTTTTAACAAAAAAATACTTCTCATTAATATAATAAAAAAATAAAGGTGGTAGGAATAAAAAATCCCCAAGGAAGTAATAAAGAAAAAGAATGTATTAGTTTAATAATATTTTGCTGTGAGTTGGACATAATCTTCCTTCCTTCCTCCCTTTCTTTTTCCGTTCTCCATCTTGAAAAGAGACGAGATATAGTCAAGAGATTTTCTACAATTTAGTAATTGTCACTCGACAGGAAGTATCATTTATACTCAATTCTGTTATTCTATTCCAAAGACACAAGAAGAGATGAAATTGGAGAAGTTAATTATCATATCGAGATTTTCCATCACGTAGATTTCTGCCTGAAGAACAATGAACTCCAATATAGGTTGATTAAACTGGTTCTTGTACTGGTGCATTAGGTGCAATTGCATTGATTCAACTGCAGGAGGACATGAAAAAGCAACTTAGTGCAGAAGGAAATTATACTGAAGAAGAGCTTGAAGAGTACGTGCAATCTCATAAGAAATTGATGATTGATTCCCTCTGGAAATTGAACGTGGCTGACATTGAGGCCACACTTTCCCGTGTCTGTCAACAGGTTTTCATTTTTTTTTTTCCCCTCTGTTGAGCAAGAACTGCTACATTCTAGCGTCTCCTGTTAGTAATGATAATAAACTGTTTTAGGTTCTTCAAGACAACAACGTCAAGAAGGAGGAGCTCCGTGCAAGGGCGAAGGGATTGAAAACTCTGGGTAAAATTTTCCAGGTACTGTTCTATATTAATTCTTCGTAACACATTCTTGCTATGACTTGTTCCCTAAGTTGTTATGATTTCAAAATTTGTATGTTGATGAAGAGGGTTAAGTCAACCCATGGGAATGAGAGTGAACCGGTGGTAAAAGGTTCAGTAGATAAACTGAATGGAAGTGAATCAAGCCAGGACGCTTCCCCAATTTCAACATTGAAATCTTCCGGCTGTGAAGAAACATCTTCTGCTTCATTTGGTCCACAGGTACTCCTCATTTTTCTATTTCTTTGGAATCCTCTAAATTTTATAATGAAACTTATGTAATGTCTCCCTTCTTGAGCATGAATCTGTGGGAAAATGTTTAGAATGAGTATTATTGAAAAGAGAATATTTTTAGTAGCAAACATTGGGTAGGGAAGGGTGTGTATGCCTACCTCCCATAGCCTTCTTCCTTAATAATAATGTTCATAATGTCTAATAGCATTGTTGGAATTAATTAAACATTAGGAATTCTTTAAACACGTAGACTTGTGTGGTCTCTAACCAATTAACTTCTTTCCGTATTAATGGTCGCCTTTTCATTTCTTTCATTCTTAAAATTAAGACAATTGTGCTACAGAGTCCGTATGTGGAGGCTCCCAATTTTCCAGGTGCACACATCAATAACTTCTTCCCCATGCCAACAGCACCTCCAGGTGCACAAAGACATCCGTCTTCCAGCAGGGATTGAGTGGGGTTGTATGTTTGTTTGTATGTATGGTGTAGGATAATTGTGTTGTATTGTATTTGTAAGGTTATAGATATGCTTGTATGTGTGGATAATCAATCTTGCTAGAAAGCAGCTGCCATCTCTTTACTCGGGGGGTGTGTCGTGGATATGTATTTAACACATTTGTGGCTGTAGTCGTCGGAACTTCTCATCATTCTGGCTGCCTCTCTTCACTGTTGGCCGCTTGGTGGTGATTCTCGTACCCTTTTATTACATTGGACTGTGTTTTCGTTTCACCAGAGCACCACCTGCCACTTTTGTCCATTGTAATTTGTAAGCTCTTTGAAGAAAAAATCTTTATAAATAATCCCTTCGTCAATCAGGTATACGAAAATTTCCTCTTCAGTTTGACATTTCTCACTCTTCAAATGGAAAATCACCGCTAGCTTTACGGCTTCCATGTCTGTTTTTTAACCGATTTCTTTAAATAAATCATAAAATAAAGAAATCCTAAAAATTATGTTTATTATTTGATTGTATAGAAAGGAACATTTTAATGTTTTAAAAATTAATTAAATTACGTTGAACAAGGTAAAATCTTGTGTTCGTTTCTGCCTATTTATGAATGGGGAGTAATATATATATATAAAATGTTGACGGTATATGGTTAAGATAATATGGATGAAGGTAAAACCTTATAGTCTCTTTGGTTAGGTTTTAAATAACTCGTGAAAGGTTAAAAAAAAAATAAAAATCTATGTGATAAGATCCCTTTATTGGCATCTTTGTTATTAAATATTGGAAACAGGAATATGAAAATCATATATACGAAAATGTAATATGATTGAATCACACATTTAAAATTTATTGAAGTTTCTATTTTAATCTTCATATACTAATGCTCTTCTTTTGGCAAATTCAAAACCTCACACTTGATAATCTACACATGGGTGTTATGTTGGAGAAACTTGTAAGAACTTGAGTATTGGAACCAAATTTCTGATATATTTAGCTGTAGAGGAAACTCTTTTTCCTCTAAACTTTGAATAAGAATATATTAATTCCTTAAACTTCAATTTTATATTTATTAATAAAGAAATCATACCTTACCACTTTGTATCATTTTATACCTTCCTTTGATGAAAAATGATTCAATACAAGTATGCCCACTTTATGAAAAATTATCTTGTTATCTTTCCATTTCTCTCTCCATCTCTTTCTTGTACCACCAAGCAATCATCTACAAACGAATATGTTGAGAGAATGTAATTCTAATTCAATTTAAAAGTTACACTAAGATGTATATTATCAAAATTTGGATACTAAAATGGAGCAAAATTGAAAGCTTAAAGTTGTTAAATTTTTTTTTTTTTTAATTCTTTAACAGAAATTAATGGTGTCAGGTTAGTTATCACATTAGAACTTACGATGGTAGAGCAAGAAGCTTAGGTGATTGGAAGCCTTGTTTTAAGTGGGAGGTCTAAATAAAAGAAATTGATAGAAGATTAAACCCTCAATCCTCAACAAACGCATTTGGATAAAACCTAAACTGCGTAATAAAATCCAACGAAAGTGCATTTTTTAAATGACCGAAGGAAAGGGAATGTGGAAAGCCCCATGCGATGCTTACGTACGCCTCCTTGCCGTCGCAGACATCCCCCGTATGGTATGGGGTTGGATTTCATTTAAAAACAAAATTAGAAAAGGAAATTTCCACCAATTACGACCTGGGAAGGAGGAGCCCAGCGTGGACGGAGAGGAAGAGGGAATTTGGATTTGGAGGGCTGAAGCACTAATAAGAAGGGACTGGGAGTCTCGGAGTGTCTGGGAGTCAGTCCGGGTGGAAAAGGAACGGTACCGCACAGATCCCGGATCTACTATTTCTTGCTGTTTCTTCTCCTCTCGCCTGTGTTTCCCTCGGATTTGAAGATCCGATCTGGGCATCTGCTGTTTCCTGGCTCCTTTCTTCCTCCCTCCCCGCAATCTCTTCCTTTTCGTTTTCTCTCACTCAGATTTCTTTTTTCGAGTTCATTTGAAAGAGAGAGACAGAAAGAGGAGGAATGGAGGGTGATAAGAAATCCTCGTCCGTATCGGATGTTGGGGCGTGGGCGATGAATATTATCAGCTCAGTCGGGATAATCATGGCCAACAAGCAGCTCATGTCTGCCAATGGCTATGCCTTCACTTTCGGTGAGACTCACTGAATCTATCTTTCTTAATCTCGTTTCTTCTCATGTATTGCGAGAAAATTAAGGATGTGTTCTCTTGGTATATTCTCAATAAATATTCTACAGTTGTAGGCAAATGTTGTACCCCATTGTCACATTGCAACTTGCAAGCTTGGGACAGTTTTCTATGCTACAGTTTACCAACGTTTTATTCTTTCTCGAAATTTTGTGCGGAACCTTGTTCTGTAATGCTTATTAGCTTCCAACTAATTAAATGCAGTACTTATTAACTTATTAAATGCCTTTTCAGCAACAACTTTGACTGGGTTCCACTTTGCGGTAACTGCATTGGTTGGTCTGGTCTCAAATGCCACTGGTTATTCTTCATCAAAGCATGTTCCTTTGTGGGAGCTCTTTTGGTTTTCTATTGTTGCAAATACGTCTATCACGGGGATGAACCTTAGTCTAATGTTGAACTCAGTGGGATTCTACCAAGTAAGAACTACTAAAAAGATTGCTTCCTTGGTTACTACATGACTATCTTGACAACCTTTGCCCTTTTGTTTATTTTATAAGAATGCATCGGATATGGAAGCTAAAGAATGCTATCTAACTGAGCTTTCATGCATAGTCGCTTCCTATTCTGGTCCGTTTCTTTCTTATTTCTCAATTGATTGGAGAATATGTTGGTTTCAGATCTCAAAACTCAGTATGATCCCTGTGGTTTGTGTGATGGAGTGGATCCTTCATAACAAGCATTACTCAAGAGAAGTGAAAATTGCTGTTGTTGTAGTAGTAATTGGTGTGGGAGTTTGCACTGTTACTGATGTAAAAGTTAATCTCAAAGGGTTTTTATGTGCATGCATCGCCGTTTTATCAACATCTTTGCAGCAAATTGTGAGTACTTCTTCACCTATCTACTTGTGCTGGTTTTTTGGTCTACAGTTTGGTCTTTACTCCTTATACTTCATATATATGTCGATCAATTGGTTCTTGTTTTTTACTCTTTCCCTCACGCAGCAAGGGTGTGACTTTTTTTCTTTTTGTTTGTCCCACTGAAAGAAGAAAAACAGAAAAAGTAGAAACGTGAATCGTTAATTGTTTATATGAAACGTGAACCTTCAATCGTTTCTATGACTCTGGTTTTAATCTAATGATCTTGAACGAGCGACCATTGAGCTCCTCTCTAGACAATCTTGTTACAATGTTTTTAAGAGTGTCGTATCAGAAACAGCAACTGGACCTCATTATTTTTGTAATGGATGTTGTTTTGGATGCAGACATTCTGGGAATAACTAAATATAATTATCTCATGGTCAGGCAAGATGGAGAAACTTTTGAAGTTTAATTTTTAATTTGGAACCACTTCTCTAACCAGAATCATATTTTGGTGCATCCATGTATTTTTCATTTTTTCCTCGAGGAAATTGTGTTTCTGCTTTTTTCTTAATGTTTTCCCTTGAATCCTCAAACCTTGTGATATTTTTTACAGTGATTATATTTATAAGTTTTGATGTTTTGTTGGATTCTGAAGAGACTGAACTTTGGTGTTCTGTCTGGTCACCTTTCGGTCAGTCTCGGTAGAAGCCAGAAGAAAGTCTTACTTGCTTCCCTTGTACCTTTCTCTGTTAACCTTGACATGGTATTTTGCTTGTTGAAGACTACTTTTATCTACTCTCAAATGGTTACAAAAACAATGTTGAAAGTACCAGCAGTTATGATGATAGTCTCATCTCTGAAGTATATAATTGCAACAGACTATAGGTTCACTACAAAAGAAGTACTCCATTGGATCTTTTGAATTGCTGAGCAAGACAGCGCCTATTCAAGCCCTCTCTCTCCTGGTTCTCGGTCCGTTTATTGATTACTACCTTAGTGACAAATCTCTACTGAACTATAAAATGTCTTCTGGTGCCATTGTAAGTACTAGGCGTTTTCCAGTACCACTCTACTCGATTCTTTTATCTACGCAATTTTCAACTAATTTCTGGCGATGGTACGTATTTGCAGTTGTTCATCCTCCTTTCATGCGCTCTTGCTGTGTTCTGCAATGTCAGTCAATACCTGTGCATTGGGCGTTTCTCAGCTGTCTCCTTCCAGGTGTTAGGTCACATGAAAACAGTATGTGTTCTCACATTGGGGTGGCTGATCTTTGATTCAGAACTGACTTTGAAAAATATATCAGGCATGATTTTAGCAGTTGTTGGTATGGTCATTTATAGTTGGGCTGTGGAGGTCGAAAAGCAATCTAGTATGAAGGCTTATATCAATGTGAAAAATAGCCTGACGGAAGAGGAAATTAGACTTCTGAAGGGAGGAGTGGAATCCAATCCTGTTAAGGATATTGAACTTGGTGAGACTAAAGGATAAATTCACCTTGTTCTTTAGGTCATTGCATTGTTTATGTTATGTCTAGAGTCTAGATTTAGACTTATCCATATCCTGATCCTTGAACCGATCAATTTTAGATATTATATGCCCTTGTAGGAACCTTGCCCGTCCAATTATATTTTTCTTGTTTACATTCATATTTATTCGTATATATGTATGTGTTTAATTTTTTCTTCCTATCATTTATGGTTTGAGGCTAGTTGTAAGACCACGAAGTGTCATTTGTAAGTGGAGAATTTTTATTTATATGAATGGAGGGAGACTATATTTGAGCTAGAAAAATCCTATAAATATGCTAGTATAAAATGATATTATATTTCAGGTTTTTTATACAATATGTATGTTGTGAAAGATTCAAATGGAGAGAAAATAAACCGGAGTCAATGTTAAAATGAAATACAACACCATGGCTCTTCCAGGAACTCCATGGTGAGTCTCAGCTCAAATAATTCTAATTTATTCTAATTGTTTATTGATTTAAAATTATGTGCCAGTAGTTCGAAATAATGCTTATGGGTTCAAGAAATTCTATAATGGTTTTATAATTAATGACGGAAGAATATGACCGTCTACATAATCGTTGAGAATTAAGTTATTATAATATTTGTTTGAGACGCTCAAAAAGTATAAAATAAATTCGACATTTAAAGAAGTTTGAAGTAAGTTAATAGGGAAAGAGAACTTTGCAAAACTGAGAATCTGTTTCTTTTGTATGAAAAGAAAAAGATTTGTCGTTTTTAACAACTTGCGAGTAGATGGGCGGTTCCACTCTTTTCACTCTAGTTTTTTACGACATAATATATCAGAACACTTAATTGGAGGTAAAAATTGATTTTTCTCACTTTTTTTAATTTATTTATAAAAACAATTGTCTATCATTTTCATTTTTCCTTTTTCCTTTTTCATCGGTTGGATTATGAAATCACTTTTTACATTTGAGACGAAGGAAGGATATGCAGCTTTAGGGAGAAGATAAATAGTTCTATACATATTATTAAGATTGTTATTTTTAATTTGAGAATATTTATTATTCAAATTACAGTTATTCGCAACATAGGTCATTGTGTAATTTATTTTGGAGTTTTTTTTAATATTAAATAGGAATCTAAGAGAGAGTGTACATTAATTATTTTGAACTAAAATTTAGCTACAATCTTAAAACTTTTATATAATAGCCATTTTTTCACAGAATCAACACTCAAAAGTCCCCTAGGTTACAACGACAGATTAAATGAAGAAACTTGGAGCCAAATGTTGCCCAGGATGCAGGAGAAACGAAGCTGAAACTATAATAGACTACAGGAACTTGGAGATTGAATCAGAGCGATTGCTTTGGATCAAACGATGAAGGAAAAAAACATTTTGTCTGGTCCAGCATGGAAAGTTCAGCCCTCATTCCACAAGCTTTGCAGCACCTTCCAATATCTCATACAAGAAGGGTTTACATGGATTGCGCGAAGAACCCATCTCAGAGGAGACTGACATAACTCAACCCTCAACTGATCAGGACCAACTTTCGACTGTTTTGCAAGCAGATGCATTTGAAACAAGAGCTCCGCAGGCCTCATATCTGTCACAAACATGGAGAACTTCATACCGTTATCAAAGTCTATTATGCATATTTCCCTATAACAGATACTCCTTTAGAAAGTATTGTCCTTGAATAATCAAATACCCAAACCCAGTAATTCCATAATCCATACTGAATGATACAATATAGTTTCTTCTATGAAGAAATATTTATATATTTAAATCGCTTGTTATGGAAGACTAATTGAATACCTTTGTAGGGGACAGAAAACTAGACAGGAAACTAAGTGAATAGACAAAGTAGTGTCAATCTAAACGCGTGACAGAAGATTACCTCAACCCCTCAATGAAAAAGGCCACAATAATCATCTTAAATAAAAACTTAAAAAAAAAAAAAAAAAAGAAGTAAAAAAGACGGAAAACGACAGTTATATAGATGAACCTGGTGGCCACGAGAACCATTCAAAACGAAGGCCTGACTCCCAATTTTCTTTCAAACCAAGACTCCCTTCTGCTTGAGCCAGTGTGATCGAGACCATTGGTATTGGAACAACGGAAATTACTTGAGCTTTAAGGAGGCTGTTCACAGCCAGCCTCAAGAAATGAGGACTGCAAAGCTGCTTTGCAAGTTCCATGCAGGTTACACCTGAGTTCATTAGGGATTCAATTATATAAACAAGCACAGCACTAATGAAAACCTGAAGAAATGAGATTAAAAAGACTGAAGGGTTAATGAATCCATAAGATTGGATGACAATTCATGTAGAAGGAAAACAAATAATTTTAGAAAGAAAAATCTAAAAGACTGGAAGTGCAGAACATAGCAACACAATCGCCGCATAGAACATATGAAAAGCATTTCGAAAGAAATAGCTTGCATTTTAGAGTCCTCTTGACAAGAAGATACCATGACAGAGGAGGAGACAGCCGTCATCATGTCCCGAGGAACAAGCTTGAGCAAAATACTTCTCAGCCGCCATAAAATCCTGGCTCCAAAAAGATATCAAACCATCCACCAGACCAGACACGGGTATTACCATGTGTTGCAGATCCTTGCTCTCTACTGATCCTTTCTTGAAACTAAGTTCTAAGCTATTGGATTCAACATGAAGCTCATATCGAGATGCAATGAATTTAAGACATACCCATCCAAGATAGTTATCTGTCTTTAAATCCAAACATTTTATGAATTCATTACGGAGGTTGTTAGAATCATTTTCTGCAGCATAGGCTCGGCACAGTAACAAATGTGCATAAAAAAGATAATTGTCTGGAAGTGAAATAGAGGAAGCAGCTTTGGCATAGTTGATGCATTTAATTTGGTCATTGCCTTGTAAACTGATCTCAGATGCACAAAGTAGCAGCTGAAACTTTTTATATTGATGAGATGTATCTTTATTAAAATATGGCTCATTGGAAAAGGCAACCAAGATTAGCCGCTCAATAGTTGCACGTAGATGACAGGGAAATCTTTCTTCACGTGCCTTCTGCAGAATGTTTAGTATAAGAAGATATCGAGCATCATAATTCCATGGGTCTTGACGTAAGCATCTGTAAACGAGGTAAAATAAAATATTTATTTCTCCAAGTTTGCATAAACGCTAGGTTCTAATAATACAAATATATGAGAGCATTAATATCCATGTAATCAAAAGCTAATATTAAAATTATTCTCAAATGATCCATACCCCTTTTATTTGTTTTAGAATATTCCATCACAAGTAAGGATGGAGTGTCAACCAACAGCCCTGTAGAGGAGCAGAGATGCCTTAACCTTTGAGCTAACTCAGGTTGGCAATCCACATGCCTATTAGAGACTTAATAAGAGCTCCATTCTCTTTCTTGTGATCATTACCAAAAATATTCATGTCGGTTAGGCTATTTGACTCACATGCCCAGTCACCCAGAAAACAAAAAACAGCAAAGATATTTGCAACAATTATATCAATGTTGACAATAAAAAGCCACCTAATATTGAAAGGAACCACAAGAATCCGACTTTAATCAAATGATAGCATTCCTTGACTTGATCATCATTTTTTAGAAACAAACATTGATGCTTTGACCTATTTATCTTAATTGAACCATGGTGCGTATGAACAATATCATCATCAATTTTTGAAAAAACAAAGGTTCAAGTCCATTAGAAGTAAAGCAACTTTACTTTTGAAGTTGTCGAATGGTCCCAATCCCATTCTGACACTGGTATGAACATGTTGGGAAAGAAAACCTCGGATGACTCGTGCCGATTGTATAGCAGGCCACAGCTCCAGCACCGTGAATTTCATATGCAGATTTCAGACCTTTGTTCTGTTGGTCAAAACCATACAACATGTTGCAGCACCTAGTAGCTGTGTGATTGTCATCTCTTTCTTCGTTGGATAGCAAAAGATAACCAAGCAGGTTCCTGTTTGAAACATGTCGTTTAGAGACAAATCCAGAGGGGCATTTACTAAACATAAACCTAAAGATAATCACGAAAACAAGCAAAGACGGAGGGGCATTTAATAAATATGAACCTAACAAGAATCCGCTAAAACAAGCCAACAATGGGCAGACACAAGTCACTAATAACAGAAGAAGACATCATGCAAATAAAACACATTACCACACATTTCCAAAGTAGGATTTGAATAGCAAATAATCCAGCCAAGAAGAAAAGTCTATTTGCTGGACCTTCCAGCGGCAGTATCTAACAAGCTGAAACCCATGTCTAATGAAATGCTTTTATACCAATCAAAAACTATGGTGAAATAATGTTTGGCGGTAAACAATCAAGTTGAAAGTTAATCTTATAGCATTATAAGTGGATACAAGGTTAGGGGTTCATGGAAACACTCTCACCTTAATCCTCTCCTCTTTCCCTCTCGTTTTTTCAACTTTAGCCAATTCTCGATTTTTCAAGCTTAATCTGTTTCATTTCACTGAATTTTTCAATCAAGCACCATCTGTCTGAATTACTAGTTCCAAGGCCCGTTTCTCTGTTAATTTTTCTTCGTATGAAATTAAGCAGTTATTGTGCAGAAATAAGTACTTCAGCATTTGGTTCAAAGGAGAATGTCTTTAGGTAGAAGATGGAAAACAAGTTGGTATCCCCCTTCTTTTATCATCTTTGTTGCCTTGAAAACTCCATGGTTGAAATGTGAATTTGCAATTTTTTAAAACAAGATAGAGAGGTAAATGGAACCATTTGTGTACGAAAAGGCAATCATCTTCAAAATGGATTATAGAATGTGCTGTGTGGCCAAACTCGGGGGGAATAAAGATAATCCAAGTTCCAGCTGGAAATCTTAAGAAAGGGAAGCTAACTTTTTGGGCCATGTTAAAAAACTTCGTGGAGAACTATGTGAGAATAGTCTCTCGTTTTCTAGTGGTCAGGAAAAGTTCAACTGCAGATATGTGATAATAATAGAGTGTCGTGTGTGGATGCTGTAAGAGGGATCTCAGAGTCTAAATATACAATTATAGAGATTATAGCTCCAGATATCTCTGAAAGGTAACTATGACTTGTGAATCTACAGATAATTTCGATCATATTGCGTAAGGAAAGAAACTGAAATGGTAGTTATACTGGAAATCAATTATGCTGATCTCTAAATTGAACGCTAAAGATGATTGGAGGGAATCAACCAGACTTTAGAAATCATTTTGAAGCTACATTTTCTATTAATCCATCCATGGCAGACAAAAATCTTTGGTTCAAATGAAAGATGGAAGGATTTTATGTGGCCTTGAACCAAATGGTAAACCTCTGTCCGTAGGTCATTCTCATTTGAAATTTGAGAAATGGTTGGATGAGAAGCATAGCAAACCGGAGTTTATCATTAGTTAAGGAGGGTGAACCAATATTATAAACTTACCTTTGAAGTATATATAATTTCATTGATGTATGAAACTACAAAAAAATGGAGAAAATTTCCTATCCAAAAGAGTTACCACAGGCATCCCCAATTGGACAAAAGAAAAGAAATGCTATGACAGACAAAAAAAAAAAAAAAAAAAAAAAAAAAAAAAAAAAAAAAAAAAAAAAAAAA